CCCCCCCCCCCCCCCCCATCAAAACACTAATATATCCAATTATTTTGTCCAAAACAAAAGGGACACTAGACTTAATTTGGAATGGTGTCCAGTTTATTGTGTTGTCATTGGGTGTATTTTTGTTGGGGGGAGATTAGTTTACATAGACAAAGATCCTGTGGTCTCATCTTCTACAGCCTATAGACCCCAATAATTGCATTGTTTTACATGCTCAGAACATTGATGAATGAGAAGTAGGTAACGTGCAGTTATAGGTATCATGCAGTATTGTTGTCAAGACTGTTTATTTCACCATGGATGGGCAACACCAGCTGTGTATTGTGTACAACTATGTACATATAACATAGTATTAGTGCATATAGTTGTTGTGTAGATATTCTCAGGCAAAGACTACTAAAGTTAGACCATGACATCGCACTAGGTCTTGAGTTCCAAAGATTGAGTCTAGACTGGAGTCACTGTCTCGATGTGCGTCCCACCAAACTCAAAAGTGCAGCTCATCGTTCTTGGAACCTTACACTTCAAGGTGGAGACAGTCCCGGACATGCAGAGATGAATTCAGTGGGTAGACTTTTATTTAGGCAGCAGGGTGGCGTTGCCTTCAGGTTAGATTGAACACTAAATGACAAGAGCTGTGTCCCAATTCAAGGGCTGCATCCTACTGCAGCCCACAGGGGCCACAATTACGATTTGTATTAAAAATATTCAACCTCTGACGTCTTTGTTTTCCTGTTCATTTTGCTGATGGCAAAATGAATCCTCGGATGTCCTTGGCCAAGAAGGATACCCAGATGCAACTTTCATTTTCAGAAATTTGTGGGCCAAATAAGAAGTCCACAAATAGGGACAGACTTTGGCATGAGGCAGTGACGCATGTGGCCAACAAATGGAGACTTTAAAGGACACAACCCCTAAATTGAGACAGAGCTAAGTTATCTAGGCAATATGAGGCTCTCAGTCTCAATCTTGGCTCCATTCAAAAGCAGTGTAAAGACCTCATTAAACCATTCAGTTAGTAGCAGTGATGCACCTGACTCACTGTTTTTTTTCTTCTAATTGCTGCTATTGATTTCTCTTCTGATGTAAGTTGCTCAGGCTCTATAAGAGGCCATGGGGTAGAACCAGGACTTGCTGGAGAGAATGAATCGCTGCGTTAACTTGGAGAGAATAGTTTATAGCTCCTGGAAATCTGTCTAAACTTCCTTATTGTTTCCCTCTATATTTTTTTTCTAACTTTGCATAGCCACACTAACAAGCAGATTGACGTGGCCTTCAATTTAATTATGCAGTAGTGCTGATCAGTGGTCCGTCAATTAAGCTTTTTTATTTTTAAAAAGTCACTGATGATGAAGAAATAAACTAAATAAACTAATATTTGGTTTCATTTTCTGCTGAAGTGACAAAAAAGGCTTTTTTATTTTTTTAATAATGCATATGCTGATTTGTAGAAATCTGGGAAATAAGTGGCCAATTTCTGAAGCTTATTTGTTTAGTCCATGAATGAAACTGTTTAATCTTAAGAACCAGTTTATTATACTTAGGAAATAAAAAGGGAAAAGATATTTGAAGGTATTTGGGTTAGTGCGTGGCAGTCAACAGCATGAAGCTCAGAACCTTTTGGCACCTTTCTAAAGTTTTCTTGAATCATGTTTTTGAGCATATTTTATTGACAGCCCCTATGTCTTTGTTGACATTTAACATTGAAAACAGGGAACCTTGTCTAAATTTGCAAGCCCAAAATACAGTAAGTTATAGCAATCCCATTTGGAAAAAAAAATCTGTTCTGAGTTTTCTTAAGTAAGCTGTATTGTCTTGACAATGTTCCACATGTGATCCAAGAGAATCTGAATGACTGTGCCATGTTGTCTAAAGCTACACTGAAGACTATGTAATTTGGGCTCAGGCAGTTGTCGATGGCAGTGTGGTTCAGACACCTGCAAAGACAGTGTTTACCATGTGTGGTCGTGCTCCTCTTCAGTAGCCATCAATCATTCCTGGGTTGCACACTTTTACATTAAAAAAGTAGTTTTTTTTTGTTTGTTTTTGGGTGTTTTATCAAAGTTACACCTCTAGATTATTATCAGGTAGTGTTTTGGAGAAAATGTGCATGTGTTATGATGTGCACTCAGCTGTATATACTGTATATATATATATATATATATATATATATGAGTGTGTCTGTTTGTGTGTGAGAAGACACAAAAATAGACAACCTAGGTATCAAGAAGGCAGACAGGTAGAGACATTTCTTTTGTTGTTTTGTTTTATTTCTTTATTTTTTTTTCTCTGAAGAGTCATGCACCCTCATCACACTGTCAGTGTGTTCTTAGGAGCCTGTTCTGTGACACCTTGGGGGCTGGAATGAGGAGGGTAGTTAGCAATCCTTTGGAACTTGTGCAGCTCAAAAGGGAGCTGTTTTTTTCATGTAGAAAGTGGCACCTTGGGAGACCCTAGTTGGAGCATTTCAGATGAGACTGAGTCAGACGGAGTCAGCTGGCAGTTCCCTTAAGTCTTCCCCTCAAATTGTTGGGAAAAAAATGCTTTTTCAAGTGCTGCTATGACACTTTGTCACTGCAAGCATCACATACGCATTATCCCCATTCCTCCAGTCCATCCGAATCCAGATTTGCTAGTAATTGCTAACTTCAAAGCCGGAAAGAAGATCTGAGTGAAATTAGTGTTGAAGAGCTAAGCTGGATAACATTTCAGTTCCACTGCATGTTACACTGACTGCACAGTGGGCCAGAAGGAAAAAAAATGATGTATTGATTTTTTTTTTTGACAAAATCCTCCTGACTTTAAGTTACAATTTGTTGGGAATTGTCTAGTGTCAATGGATTTCAATAGCCTTATTTACACTTAAGTTTAAGCTAGTAATAATTCAGAAGAAAAAAAGAAAGAAAAAAATTGATTACAGAATCCAGTTAAAGTTTAAGTAAAGCACCATTAACACTCAGATAAATAGACAAAAATCACTCAAATAGAATTAGGTTTCAGATTTAAACAAACAACTTTGTCAGCTTTTGCTCACTGAAGGGTTAGTTCATCATCTGTAGATGCTTTCAGGATTTGAGCATCAAATCCAACAAAAGGGAAAATGGGTTTGACCCCGTTTACAGTGAACTCTTCATGAATCATAGTTATTTCTAGTAAAATGTAATAAAACTACCCAATGTAAAATGGTCACTGTAGAGCAGCGTTTTAGTGGTTATCCTCCTCTCATTCCATAATTTATTCACCTTTTGTTCACCTTTATTGCAGTTTTATTTTCCATAAAAGTTGCAGAGGAAGTTACAAGAACAAATGACCTTATTAAAAATAAGAATATGTAAAGAAGTGTCCTAATGCATCTCAATAATCCAGGTAGAAAAATGAAAAAAAATATATAATAAGTAGGTCCTCTGGACAGGTTATTTTTAGTTGAAAAAACTGTTTTGTCTCTCCTCCAACAGACTGTATCAGTCTGAGAAGTTAACTCCTCAGAAGAACCCGATGAACCAGAATCACTTAATATGATTTAATTTACACATGCATGAATTAGCTACAGTATTAGAAAGTTATTTTTGGTTGTTTAGCACTGACCATGAAGAGAGTAAATAGTGAAAATGTGTTTAGTGCATGAAACCTGTTTGTAGAATTTAAAAAAACATATTCAAATGTATTTTTTATATTATTATAACATACATTTAAACTTCTCATTTGGTTTGTTTCAACATAAAACATCTGAGCTGTGTGATCTGAAAGTGATAGTTTTTTTATTTTTTTGTTATTTTTCTGCATTGAAGGTCTATGAAAAGATCAAGGCTTATCTGCTGTAGAAAGCTTATTCCTCAGATTAGATACATACAGTTCAATTTTGAACAAACTGACAAGCTAATGGACAATCCAAGTGGGGCTGAGACCACTGTGAATCTCCGCTGTCTTACAGCAATTTCCAGTTTCAAACATCATGTAGCAGTTCTTGCTTGCATTTGTATTGGTCTTTACATGCTGTAAATGTTGCACTACATACTGTTGCGGTGCAGAACGGATGGTAGTGTTCAGGTTTAAAAAATGTGTTTTTAAAATAGTCTTCTCATAAAGTGCTCTT